AGGAATACACAAATTTCCAGGATTTCAATTATGTTCTCTATGTAACAACGAGCCAAATCAACCACATTTTTCCTAAATCTTTCTAAAGCAGTGACATAAATATATATACATATATATCATTCAAACATTCTAAACTAATATCCTCCACTCATTGAGGCAGTTTGGGGCTGACGGACCGCAATGGACGTGGGGGAAGCTTGTCCGACCGCGATAGAACCATTGAGTGAAGGATTGATGCCCATTGAGGACGAAGAATTCTGTTGAATCGTGATGGAACCGTTAGATGAAGAGGAGTTTACACCCATTGAACCTGTATATACAGATATTTGTGATGGATTTTGTGGATTATCTTGATCTTGTTCGTTCGTTCGGTGTTTTTTACCCGCTCGACGACTAGGCGTTTGACCGTTCTCGTAACGTTGACGCTTTTTTATTACATCCGTTTTCATTGACAGCGGACGTCTCTCATGATGCAGCTTGAAGCTAAAACGCGATGAATTGCACTATCAGTAAGATCCATCTGCTGGTAATGGTGAAATGATAATGTATGGGGTACTTACTAAAGACCGCAAGCGTTACAAAGCGTCTGCCCTTCCTCGTCGCGTCTCCACAAAGGGGTATTCATTGTATTGCAATTTGAGCAGACGGGTTGGGTGGTTTCATCGTCCCGTGCGTCCTTGCGTACTATATGAGGCTTCATGGTCTTTGGACGAGGCATCTTGTGAAGTTTTAGGCTAAAGAGAAAGGTGAAGTGTTATCAACCTCGACATTCGATTGTCTCAAAATCAAATGATTAAAAATGAAGGAAAGACGTACTATAAACCGCACGCATTGCATAAGAGTTCATCATTCGCAGAACGTCTCCAAAGAGGTGTGGAGGTGATACCACAATTGAAACATTGCTGTTCGCCGCTTGAGTGAGCTTTTTTTGGCCTGTTTTCTGAGGTCGAAGAAGAAGATGCTCGAACAGAGGCAGAAGATTCAGGAGCAGACGAGGATTGAGGCGGATTTGATTTTGATGTACACTGTTGTCCGATGGACGTTGAATTATTCGAGTTCGTCTGTTCAGCCGAAGAAAATTGATTCATGTATAATATATTTGAGGAATTAGAAACACTGGACAGCATGCTATTACTAGGTAATCCGTTGACAGGAGTGTTAAGTGGTGTATTAAGCGACGTATTAGTGGTCATTATGTTATTATTGAGTGGCGTCGAATTAACAGGTGAATTTTCAGTCGTTCCTGGAACGTAGACAGCCCCATGCATCCCCGTGGAGGTGTTTCTATTTGTTGATATCGCGGATATTTGATATTGCAAGTTTGAAGCATTCGCAGCGTCAGGCAGCAGGCTATTTTCGTACCACTCCATCTCGGTTGGAGAGTTGGGTTCCGAGGATTCTGGAGATGGGGAAAAATTATAAGCGCTGGCACTCATAAACTGATCTAGGTCTAGTTGCATAGTAGGTGGTTGATTTATTGATGGGGAGCCGAAACGCACGAAAGGTAAGGTGATGACTTGGTATTCCTGGTCGTTAGTGAATTGGTGCAAAACATAATTCTGGTGGGTAACCCCGTTCAAAATATCCTCGAGAGAATGACCCAAGGTGAGATCGTTTGTTTCATCTTGATCAACTGAATGAGAAGAAATAAATTTAATCAAATCAATTGATTGATAATGAATGCATAAGCCTATTAAAATTTAAAGTCTTACTGGTCAAAACCATGTTATCCTCGACCTGATCCACATTGGAATCGGTCACCGTCTGATCACTGATGGAGGTTGGAGAGATGGCGGTTATATCCGAGTTCTCTTCATTGTTACTTCCAAATTGATTGGATTCCATATATTTATGATTCTTTTTTGGAATTCCCTTTTTAACTTGAACAGGAAGTGCGACGGGAAGCGTGACTGCCTTTCTCGGCGACTTTTTCTTTCCCTTCTTTTCACCCATAATATCATTACTTCTAGGTCGATAAATAGGAACAGTCAAATCCTTAAGTGTAGTCGCCTTTTCGGTTTCAAGTTTTTTGGTGGTAGCATTTGTTGCCTTCTTAAATTGCGTTTGAGTCTTTTGGTCATGAACCATGACATGATGCATAAACCAAAGACGCCATGATAAATTTTCTAATCGTGTTCCATATTCTAAGGCATCCTTAACTTTTGTCATCAAGCGCCAAGTTTTAGATAGATCTTCATCATTGTCAATTGTAGATAAAAGCGAAAACGCTTTATTGCCTTTGATCTTGAGTTTTGTCGGGGCCATAAATTATATATAGATATATATTAATTAAGGAAACCTGTCAGATGAGATGAAGTTAGTAAGAGTAATAGAAAGTACCAACTCTCAAAAAGAGAAAAACAAGATAATAAAAAAAAAGAACAAGGAAAGGGAAAACAAAAGTGTTTCTCTTCAAGTTTCTTTATATATGTCCACTTATATGTACATATATATATATATATATATATATATATATACAAATATAGTATAAAGTGTGATATTATTGTTAACGTATTGTATATAAATTTAATAAGTCACTTTGCTGAATTGTTGAGAAGAAACTGAAACGTTGCGAGGAGGTAGTTGGTACTAAAGTTTTCTAATATACCTGCAGGTCCTTCTTTTTCAAGAAACCGGTGTTCTATTGTTGTTAACTGTGTCGAACTGAACACGCAGGAATTAACGGTCAGATGTTTTGTAAAGTTCCCCGAAGGAAAGAACTTTAAAATTATAATAGATTAAGGAGGTGCAAAGATCCTACTTTGACCAAGGAACAAGAAAAAGGTCAAAAGTTATGAACCGTTCAAGTGCGGTTCTGTATTATAAAGTTAGTGAATAGTATGTACAAAAAAAAAATGTGGCGAAGGAGTAATAAGGCAGGTGAAGGTTACAAGGAGCAATCACGAGAATGAGCTGCTTTAATTGGTTGATGATTAAAAATTCAACTGCAGCGTTACTCATCATTTGAAGGCGCAGTAACTCGGATTTGATAAAATCCGAAAAGGAACGGAGAAGCGCATCAGCAGCCTATCATATTATATAATAATAGTAGATCGCCGGCCGACCTTTTGTTTATGCGTGATATAAATACTTTACAATTCTAGTAAAAAAAATCACGCCAAAGTACGTGATTGAACATCCAAGCACCTATGATTGATTTATCATGCACACATGTCGCACCTTTAAGTTAAAAACAATGTAACATGAAAATAGCGACAATAAATGAATTTCCCTCCCAACATACACACGTACAACATACAACAAAAATGTCTATTCCGCACATGTCGGGATGTTTCGGTTGATCACGTTTCCCTTCCTATTAGTAAAGGATTACACCCGGGCTTATGGAATTCTGGACAAAAATGAGTTAGCGACTTCTCCGATCATTCTTCTTTCTTTATGTCTGACAAGTTGATCAATGGTTCTAACTTTCACATTCACGTTCAAAAAATGATGACCTATTTCTGGTAGATCTGGTTTTTTCTCACACTTATAACTTTTGAAAAAAAAAATCGTTTGCATCTTCAAACAACAATAATCGAAAGTGTTAATTTAATTTTGCTAAATGCTCGAGACAATAAGCATCCAATGGTTTTGTGATGAGGGTCTGTGAGTAATGAGTATAACATAATCCACACACGCCGATTTTCAAGTAAGACAAACCGACTCCGAACTTTATTATTTACACAATAAAACACAAACAATGTATTTGCCAGGATTGGTCTTATTTAAAATATGGGGTATTTTTTTTTTTTTTTTTTTTTTTTGTACTCTGTTTATACCGAATTGCCTTTGCAATTGCGGGCAGATATTACTCTTTTTTTCTTTGTGCACATATTTATACGATCGTTACATACTGTATGTATATTGTTTACTTAAGCCACATCTCTCAGGGGAGATGATTTCATTGGTATAAAGTGCAATAGATCACGTGTTTGATACGTATAAGTCTTCAGCCCTTTGGGACTTTCTAAAAAATAAATTTCTTTTACGCTTTTCCGAGATGTCCACCTCGTCAATAAGGTACCGTAAGGCTGGATTCCTCTTATCGCGTTTGCAGTTAACAATTGTTCGCAAAGGTTTATTTAAACCTTATTGTTGACGAAAAATTTTATGTACGTTTTCCATCAGAGCTACTCCTCCAAAGCAAAAGTTGGGTAAAATCAAGATTCATAGAAAATGCATCTTGTGTCAGAGGCTTAAATTTCCCATATTTGTCATTTGCTATTCATTAACTTACAAATTTACATCTTTCATTACATATAAATTTAGTCCTACGAATGACGCTAGCCGACTTCTCAGGAAAGAGTTAATCAACTTCTCGAACGGCCAATTATCTCTGGCGAACAAAGCGGTTACACAAACGAGCGTTGGGCTGTCCAATGTTGAAAAGAATATTGAGGTAATAAAAAAAATCTTTTTCAGATTCAAGTTGAAATTTG